GAGCAATCGCTGTGTTTGCTGCCAGTCTGAGGAGTCTTTCCGCGCCTTTGGGAACTCCATGTTCCACAGGCCTATCTTGTGGTGCCAACTCCATCTCCAGTTTAATCAGATCCCCCTCCGCCGGGACTTCCGTTCCTCAGCCATGATTAATTTCTCCAAAGCGCACCTATTAAACTTTTAAGGCCAATAACTTCTAGTACTTATAAAAAAAGTCGACTAATGACATCATTTTTTGATTTCTCTATATAGTTTTATTTTAACAAGTGCCAATCAGAACTCAAAAGTGTCCCATAATGCGCTTAGAATCAAGTTAGGTGTCGCCAGGTTTGCAGAATAAACAGTATAAGAATAAGTAGATATATTTAAAGTTGTAATAAATTATGGCCTTAGGTGAGCTCTTGGACGCCTCCTTCGCCGTGAACTTTCTCGTGGCAGAAGGCCAAAGTGGCGCCTTTTGACCCGCCGGATAGATGTAGCTGTAGCCAGGGGTCCGGGCCAGCGATTGCTGTGAACTAACAGTCGATCGTTGTATCGGCTTGAGTGGAATGCGATCTGGTCGTCGACAACCGCCAGATTCAAGTCTCTATGCAGAGTTGAGTTCCTGACATACCATGGTCAATCCGTGATTAGGCGTAATGCTTTATTTTGCATGACTTGCACTCTCTTACGTTGGGACTTGGCAGCCATGACTTTTAATAACTAAATAAATGAATATCTAATAACGCAAAACCAAAAAATCCGACTACTTTTAATAAATAAATAAATATATAGATATCCACAACAAACTCAATATCGACAACGAAATAAGACAAAAGTGAACGGCACCCAACGAATGCATCTCTGCAGACTCTTGGTATATGCTGTATGACGGATGCCGCGCAGGATCGATTCTATATTGTCCTGGGTCACCTGTGCCCAAAGCTCTTATAACTATGGCCAGCACACATCCAAAGTGACAACAGAATGAAGCACAACAACTAATAAGTGAATAAATAAAATCTGTCAAGATTACCCTTATAGATAGACAATCGCAAACGTTTCACCAACATGCGAATGGTCATACTATCATCAACCTTGCCAAGAAAAACTTCTCATACTAATGGATACTCTGCAAGATCTGCCTCTGTCGTGCTTCTCGGATCCGACTCCAAGTTCTGCAATTTTGGGCCACTGACTCGTGCCATATAAGACATCAGGAGAGTAAATCAGAGGCAAGCCTTTCTTCTAAAAGGCATTTATAATTTCATTAATTTTTAGAATCAGCACCGATTTCGACGAAGTCATTTGCTTCTTTTCAATCATCAGTTCTCAAGGATCTATCCCATCCCTGGCTCACAGCCCGGACATAATCATAATTCTTTTTTCTTCACTGGGTTCGTATAATTGGTCGCATTATTCTCATAACTATTGATAATATTTATTAATTCCTAAATTGTTTTCTTTTTAGAGAACACATCTTTTTTATACATTCATGGAAACCAAAGGAACAAGTGAAGAACCAAAGGCTATTGCTAGCCGCCGCCGGCAAAAAAACAACGGATCGGACTCACTCTCTTTCTAATTTGCCGGCTCTGCCTGCTGCTGCTCGTCTGCTGGTCCTCCTCCCGCCTCGCTTGACATTGGCCGTGTATAGGGCCTGCATATATCTCTGGTTCGGAGAATGTTTTCATTTTATTTTCATTTTTATTCGGCACGACGGTTTCTTTGAAATTTAATTTTTTGTCCGGCACGACCAATTTAAAAAATTTTTCAATTATCGTATGTCGGGATAATTTTTGTTCGCCAAGTTTATAGCTCCTTTTTTTCTGCCTCCGACAAAATTAAAAAAAAACAAGTGTGAGGCTCTAGTCGGGAGCTTCCGACTAGGGGATTCTATGGACCCTCTTCTACCAACACCAAATGCAGCTCGCGCTACGCGCTCGTTTGCTTCAGCAGTACTTAAAATAAATGAATAAAAAAACAAATTTATTTTCCTCGCAACAGACCACACTACTTGCTGCCGCCTCTACTCGACATCAACACCAATAATTGAGTCTTTATGAGAAAAAAACGGATTAAAATAGCAGCACAGAAAACAATTCAATCGTAATTGCAATGCTGTTGATAGAATTCGACAGGATTTCGATATCGATTTTTATCGATTTCTTGGAAACGGGGCAAGTTATCGAATGTCGGAAACAAACTCGTTCTGCGCGGGCACTAGGAGGACCTACATATAAAATTACTCTTATAGGTTCAGAGATCCTTGCGTCATACATACGGACCGACGGGCAGACAGACGGACATGGCTAGATCGACTCGCCTATAGAAGCTGATCAAGAACATATATACATTATGGGGTCGGAGATCTCGATCAACGGCCCAGTTGAAGGCCAAGGGCACCCATTACGCACCCTGTTTCTCTCTCTCTGACCAAATCGGTTGGCAATCGCCAATGTTCTCTCACATTTCCCATTTCCTTCAGAGATCGGCGTTGCTACCCCCGTAAAGTTTTGGGCAGCCTAAGGCAACTTAGCACCCTCATCGATATCTCGAGTCTGGCTATAGACTGTCCTTGAGACTCCCTATGCAAAAAATTTAATAAATACGTGTTTCAGTGATTGTGGAAATTCCATCCGCAACCGTGGTGAATAAGATTTTGTGAAAATTAATTTCAGACGCGTTTCACAATATTCGTTAAATCTCTATTTGAAACGTTTTTCGTGATATCCATTGTTCTTGGGTAGAAAATGTGAGTCAACGGATTAATAAACGAAAGTTAATTTTGGAAACAGTTGATTCCAACTTGTGTTTCTTTATTTGATGGACCTTAACCATTTTTTTTTAGATAGAATCATTTTTGAGAAGAATTAAATTGTCCACGGAAGGAAACTGGGTGAAAAGTCAATATTTTGAATTTCTAGCACAAAAATACTACGGGCAAGGCCGGAAAATACCCGCTAGTATTTATTCTAATTTGATAGAATATACCTTACACTGGCTAAAGAGCGCTTATGGTGATGTAAGGGGCGATGAGGAATGGTAAGAGACAAAAAACAATTAGCATTAAAATAAATTAAATTGAAAAATTAGACTTTTGGTTATATAAATGGTACTTAAAAGTCAAATTCTACATCCATTAACACAAGTAAATTATTTCGATTTTTGTAATAGTTGCTTTATTTATTATATACCAAAAAAAGTAAATATTTAGACGCGTAGATGTTGAAGGATAGGGAGCTCGAGCTAGAAGAAAATTGTACGTGCTTTTCGTAATGTGGTGAAATTCCAAATTAGTATAACCAAACTTATCAAAGACAAAAAACATAAAATGCATTAATTTCTGAGATGCCAGATCGCCACAGTCCCCCTCCTAGACTTCAAGTTGTGAAACGAACAGGGAGTCTAATTGTGCGGCGAGGCCTTGTGGATTGTTGAATCAGTATAGGTGTGTTGGGAGTATCCCTGGATGCGTCTTGTTGTTGACCTAATGGCAATGTTGCTTCTGAGTTGGCTGTCGTTGATTGTTGCTGCATTTCCATGAAAGCAGGTTTGAGGCGATCAATCGATACTTTGGTATCGTGACCATTGACAAGTATGTTGAAAAATTTGGTTTGTTTTGATTTTACTTCAAATGGTCCGTCGTAGGGCGTCTGACGCGATCCACGTACCGTGTCGTTACGCAGAAAAACATGAGTTGAATTAGCTAATTGCTTGAATATAAAAGGCTTTGATGAGTCGTGGTTGGAAGTTTGAATTGGTCGGATTTCGCGCATCATCTCTGTTAGATCCTTGTCGAAATTAGTTTGTGGGCTGGAATTGTTGAAAAATTCTCCAGGAAGTCGAAGAGTTGTGCCGTAAACAAGCCGTGTTGCTGTTGTTTGGATGTCGGGCTTATATGCTGAGCGTAGGCCGAGGAGAATCATTGGCAATTATCGTGCGGTGCCAACGTTCGATGATTCCGTTTGCCTGTAGATGGTAGGCGGTTGTTCGTAAATTGTCAATGCCGAGGAGGCGCGATAGCTAGTTAAATAACCTGGATTCAAATTGTCTGCCTTGGTCCGTGGTAATGCGTGCTGGAACTCCAAAGCGAGAAATCCATGTGTTGATAGGTGCTGTGGCTACTGTTTCAGCTTGAATATCCTCGATGGAGACTGCATCTGGCCATCTGGTATACGAATCGATGATCGTGAGATCATATCTAAATTGACCAGATAGTGGTAATGGTCCAATGAGGTCTACATTGATGTGTTCAAATCTGCGTGAAGGCAGAGTGTATTTTTATAGTGGTGAATGAACGTGGCGCGTGACTTTAGATTTATGGCAGGGGATGCAGTGTTTGACGAAGTGAGCTTAATCCTTATGCATACAAGGTCACACGAAGCGCTGTTTGATGAGCTTAATTTTTGCTGATAATATTTGTTCGATGTGGCTGCGGTACGAATGGTCGCAATGTGGAAGTAGAAAAATCGCAAAAGATTGGAGTACTTGCGGTAAGTTGATCGATTTGATTTGAAGTGCAGTGGTGTTGTCATTAAGTAGCTTTTTTAGCTCAGGACAACTTGCTTGTGAAGCAGCAATCTTATTGTAGTCGATGATGTTGGCTTCAATAGTTTCGATGGGAGAGAGTGTGTCGGCAGTAATGTTATCGACACCTGCTATGTGCAGAATAGATGTCGTGAATTGTCCGATAAAATCTAGCTGTCGAAGCTGCCGTGGAGAAGCTTTTTTAGATTTTTGAGTGAAAGCGTATACCAATGGTTTATGGTCAGTGTGGACATCAAACATTTTGCCTTAGAGCATGTAGCGGAAATGCTTGATACTAAGGTAAATTGCAAGAAGCTCCCGATCGTAAGTACTGTGCTTGCGTTGGGCGTCAGTAAGCTCAACGCTAAAAAATCCCATTGGCTGAAGTTCTTTGTTGACGATCTGCTGCAGTACAGCGCCAACGGCTGTATCGCTTGCGTCCGTGCTGCGTGATAAGTGAGCATCTGGAGCAGGATGTTTCATTCATTTCGGTTTCATTCCTTAAAATGTTTTAGCGTATCACCTGTCCAAGTTATTGGAGTTGAGTCGCTTTTTATGTTACCCGGTATTAATTGTACCAGTGGTGCTTGATGAGTGCTTGCTTTTGGCAGGATTAAAGTTAATCATTGCCAAAAAACGTTTCAGTTCTTTTGCGACTGTGGGTAAGGGAAATTCGATGATGGTTTTGACTTTGTCTGGTAATGGTTTGATGCCACTATGATCGATCAAATGACCAAGAAACTCGATTGATGTTTGACCGAAACGACATTCCCTAGAATTTATTTTGAGATTAAAACGTCGAAGTCGTTCAAAAACTTGCCGAAGATGGATTTGGTGTTGCTCCATATTGTCTGATGCAACGGCGATATCATCTATATAGACGAAGACAAAGTCTAAGTCCCTCAGTGCGGAATGCATGTACCTTTGGAAGGTTTGTGCAGCGTTGCACAATCCAAATGTCATGTGTGTAAACTCAAATAATCCAAATGGTGTGGTTATTGCAGTCTTTTGGACGTCGCCTGGTTCGATGAGGATCTGGTGATATGCACGGTTAAGATACATTTTTGAGAATATATGCATTGAGTGCGCAGTTCACCTATTCACCTATTCGCTTGCGGACCATGTGCACCGGCGATGCGTATGCACTTTTTGATGGTCGGCACACACCTATTTTAAGCAAGAACTTGAATTCCATTTTGGCAGCCTTAAATTTGTCTGGATTGAGTCGACCAGGTCTTGCGAATGTTGGTGGGCCTTTTGTCTCAGTGCAGTGAGCTACACTAGATGTTGTGTGCATCGGTGCTAAGGCATTGAGTTGTGTGATGTCCTTGAATTCTTCCAGCAGTCGAGCCAACTCACAGGATGCGTTAAATGCTTTCAATGTTGTTGAAGATCGAAGGCTGCAGACACCTTGACGTGCTATCAAAGTTTGAGCGCCGATTAATTTACCATCTTTGATATTGACAAGAAGGTTATAGTGGTGTAGAAAATCTGATCCAATGATTGGAAATTTTGTGTCAGCAATGTTAAAATGTCATGTGTATGGACGACGTGACCCAAGATCGAGAGTGAGACTGGTTGAGCCATATGTTTTAATGGTAGTGCCGTTAGCAGCAAAAAGAGGATTTTCGCCGGTGGCTTAGAAAAATCGGTTTATGGTTGCAGAAGGTATGACTGACACATCTGCGCCAGTGTAGATAAGAAACTTTATACCAGGCTTTGTATCTGGAATAAATAGTCGATCAGAGGCTGTTATACTGTGAACGTTTATGCTAAGCTTGGAAACATTTTTTATGGCATGGACAGATTGGCCGTCGAAGTTGCCAATTTGATTTTCTTCGACGGTGTTTGCTAGTTTTTTGGGTTGTCTGTTTGATTAAAGGCACATGGTGCAATGCAGTGTTGGGCTCTGCCGCCATACTTGTTATGATATCAGCAATTTTGATTTGAATCGGCATGTGCGATCGGTGTATTGCAGCGGTTGCTTTGTGATCGATGGCGACTGCGTCGATTTCCGTTGTTGAGCAGCTGACCAAGTTTTGTGTTGATCTTTTGAAACATTATGTCCTGGGCATCCAGACGTTTTTCTATCTTACTGATGCGGTTGTCAATTAGATGCTCAGTTGCAGTGTTGCTACGTGAAAGCACTACGACGTTATCACAAGAAGTATAACTAAGTGTATCCATTACGGCGTCAGCGGCTGTTGCAAGTTGCGATAGTGTTATATTCGGGGAAGTCTCAAGAATACCTGTGATGACGGCGCGAGCTGCAAAAGGTAGGCGTTTAATCCAATAACGACGTTAGTAGCATTGGTTTGCTGTAGTTGGCTGAGAAGATGGCTTGGACGTCCAACACCGATTTGAATGCCAGTGGCAAGTTTGTCGAGGCGTGTCATTTGTGACTCAGCGAACTTTGTAAGAATGGCTTGTTTGAGTGTAGTGTATGGGTTTGTTTTGAACAAGATCGTGAATTTGATCTAAGCCGTAAGCCTATGCCTTGCAAAAGAAACCAACTTTCTAGCTTTGTGAAAAACATTTCAATGTTTGTAACCGTGTGTAGTTGAGGAAATGACATCTTGACGAAAACAGAATTTACATTGTCTGCAACTCTTGCATTGCTGTTCTCAATGTGAGCTCTATCATTATTCTCGTCCTCCATTTTGTATTTTAAGCGTCATGTATTTCGTGGCATTGCAAAAAATGTACATGTTTGTGTGAGTATGTCGCAGCAAAGCTATATTAGCTTTTAATTGCTTTATTTATTATATACCAAAAAAAGTGAATATTTAGAAGCGTAGATGTTGAAGGATAGGGAGCTCGAGCTAGAAGAAAATTGTACGTGCTTTTCGTAATGTGGTGAAGTTCCAAATTAGTGTAACAAAACTTATGAAAGACAAAAAACTTAAAATGAATTAATTTCTGTGATGCCAGATGGCCACAGACATTTAACATACACTATTTTACACGTCTCCGCTTCTTGACGTGGAGATTGAAACTATTTGGCTATTCAATAGGTATCGGTACAAGCAAAGACAGTATAAACAGTAAGATGAGCAACGTCATACAACAAAATGCTTCTGTACATTTACAACGAAAGCGAAACCAGTATCACTGCCCTCTCACAGATTAAAGAGCGAAAGCGCGCAAAATATAACGTACTCTCCCTTTCGGCTCTATGAGGGCCGTGCAAGCAATTATATTTGTATGTGTGTGAATATACATGCATAACAGCATATTTAAATGTGTTATTATTTCCTGCAGTGGCATTTGCTGCCGAAGAAACTTGTATTCGCTTATGCTTGTAATGTACTGAGGTAGGTTCGGTAGATAATCAATATCTTTTAAGCCGATTTTAATATAATTTCTTCAAATAAATTTATTATTATTTGGCTGGCAGCAGCCAAACCGTAAAAACCAAATGTACAGCGAGGCGTTCGACTTTGTCAGCCGTCAACGGCAGGCGTGCTGGGCATTAAATCCCTGAACCTAGTTTGAGAGTTTCAAATAAAAAGAAAATAATATTCCCGCGGTCGAGGCACCGATAGTATTTAATTTAAAAATAATTTAATTTCACAATAAAAAAGAAGGAACATATGTGCCTGCCAACGAGACACATAAACATATATCAAAATCTGTACATGTATAAAAGTTGCCATGCAGCCGTAACAAGTGCTGCGCGAAAAACGAATAAAAACTAAATATACGTGGTTAAATTGCGAAGACGAAAATTAAAAACTACAAAAATAAGTACATGCCAATCTTGAACCACCAAAACCGCCAAAGACGGGCAAGTTTCATGTTGCCAGGTCCACCAAAATTTTTTTCGGGCCGGAGAGTAACAGAAGAAACGAGGAGGTGAACGGCAAATGCGGGACTCCGACAGCGAGAATTGTCCGCCCCTGGTTAAAAGCAGAGGGAAGAGAGCCCGGATAGTTGTCCGATGCAGGGGGTTTTTTTTCTGATCTGCAACGCATAAATTAACTCATTATATTTAAGTTTTCGCTTCTATATTAGTAATTAATACCACGTTGAAAGGTTTAAATCATTAATGCTCTGTAGGGAAACGGCTCGAGCTATTTCCAAGGCAAGTTACACGAAATCTCGGTTATTTAACGCATGTACGAACTGTACACACGTGTATACATACATATGTACACAAAAACATACCTTTTTGCCATCGTCCCTTACAAACCCCAGAAAGCTATTTAGGCAGGGTACGGCAGTATCCCTAGAGGAAAAAGCAGTTCCGTAGCAAAAATAATTTTTTTTATATAAATAACGTGTATTTGGCGACCTTTCCATTTTATAAATGTTTGTTTGGCTGACTCGAGGTCCGGGGTTGGTTTATTCAAGACAAAATATACATATTTCGGCTGCACTTCGGCAACCGTCTTCAGGGCAATTGTTTTACACGTCTGCGCTTTTTGACGTGGAGGTTTCAACCTCGGATAACGTGTTTACAAAATATTTATCGTCATGCGTACATAAGCTGACCGATTTTTAACTTATTCTCACATAGTGGCATCTTTATGTTCCCATACGTTAAAATTCTTCATAAGTTAGCAGCCCCTAACATAGCGGCACTTTTAATAATTAACAATATATCAACAAAATTTAAATTAATTACACTCTATTTAGTTTTATATTTAGAAATATTTGTTATTATAATAAAATAAGAAAAAAAAACCTTCAAATGGCTCTAGGAATCGCAAAATGGTAAGATTTTATTTTCTGATTAATTGTAATTTGCGTTTTTATACCCATAAAAATTAAGAAAAGAAAAACTATTATAACAGTTTTGCACAAATATATCTAACAAGCAAAAAGCGGCATTTTCATATTTTACAATGCAAATTATTTTTTTTAATCGGACTTTAAACACCTATGTTGATCAAGAATGCATTTCCTATACATAGTGTGTAAGAAAAGCACAGCCGCTGCATGAGGTGCGCAGCTTACGGCGTGCGAGCGTGGGTTTGTGTGAATTTTTTTATATTGTGTAAAGGACCTAATCTTGCTAAATCTATTGGTTTGTAATCGGTGTTATTATACCCTGAACCCATTAAAAATGGGTAAAAGGGGTATAATGTATTTCGGAAAATGTATATTACCGGCAGAAGGAAACATCTCCGACCCCATAAAGTATATATATTCCTGATCAGCATCAATAGCCAAGTCGAATGCAAGGATCTAAGAACCTATAAGAGATTCTTAGATCCTTGTGTAGTGTCCTCCTAGTGCCCGCGCAGTACGAGTCTGTTTCCCATAATCTAATAATAAAGTAAATAAACCAATTAGTATTACCTACCAATTTAAAACAAAGAATAAACAAATATTCTTCAGCTATTTACTGTTGAAAATTTCATCAATATCGGTTAAGAAACACAGAAGTTATTAAAGAAAACGTGTGGGTATATATATATTGGCAGCCCAAGTGTCAGCGGCAGCTAGCACAAATTTCAAGAATTTCTGTTTACAATTTAACAAATAACCCTCGCTTGCTATGCCCCTTATGTTTATAGCTACCCTCGCTTGGGCATTTTGCTGACGAACCAGTGCAATGCCCAGCTACAAGTATAAAATGACACTTGCCTATGTCGCTAGTTGAATTGTTTAACAGTTATGCTGAGTCGGCTATGAGTTCGGCAGCTTATACTTCTGGTTTTGTCCTTAGCTTAAGCCGCACCAAGTTTGTAATTGCGAATTCAGTTCTGTTCAAGTTAGCAAGCATTCCGCCTGTTCAAATACATTGCTCCGGCTGTTGCCGCAAATAATACCATTTGTTTCATTGCTGCGCCACATGTTGGGGTGGCTGTTGGGTAGAGGCGGTTGCAAGTAGTTGGTTACGTGTTCGAGTCCTATCGACTTATTTTTATTACTGCTTAAGCTAACGAGCTTGTAGCGCGAGCTGCATTTGGTGTTGGTAGAAGAGGGTTCAGGGGATCTCCTAGTCGAAACTCCCGACTAGAGCCACTCACTTGTTCTTTTTGAAATCGTCTTAAAAATGTGGTTTACGGATAGACATATCAAAATCATCTCGTCGCCATGACCAAGAACATCAATTTTAGTGGGGTCGGATATACCTCCTTCTACCCGTTACATACATTTGCACAAAACAATTATACCACTTGTACACATTTAAAATGGGTTCAGGGTACATTTGAATTAAAAAATGTTATGCTCGGAAAAAAATTGAAACAAAAAAAAAATTTATATGTATACATATGTTCGCTTTTCCTGGTCTTATGTGTTCATTTTTTACTATCAATATACAAATTTTGATTTTTTAGAAACCTATTACTTGGATTTAAGGAAGCTATTCAAGATTAACAACAAAATATTTTCGATTGAAAATTTAAGTCCGTATGATATAGGCAGATTTCTATGCAAACTGCGGGAGTTTTGCATAAAAAATAAATTAAAATAGCCTATTTGCAAAAGAGTTATAACTGATGTTAGTTTTGCAATAATTGGGGCCATTTTAAAAGAATATACCAACATTGATCTTGCGACGTATAATGAAATTTGTTTTAATTTTTTGTATAATTTCAATCGCACATCCCCAAAAGTCTGTGTTCAATTTTGTACGAGCCACTACAGCAAAATTATGTATCGCAACATAGATGAAGTAGTTGGCTTGTACAATAATGACCTCAGATAGTTTTTAAGAAACGCCTTGGATTGTGCATATTTCATAAGTAATATTGGAGAGTTAGAAAAATGGTTCACAAACATTGAAATCATTCTTCTTTCTCTACATGTTAATAATATTGTGGATGATACCATTAATTATTTTACGAAATATTGTGAAGAGCCATCTACATTTTATTTAATGGACAGTGTAACTGAAAAAACTTTGAGTTCCATTGCCGAAAAAATTCCATTTAAACTAAAACACAACTTGTATAAGGGCAACTTCTGTACATCAAATATTTATTTGAGTCCAGAAATGCTGGACGTAATTTTAAATAAATACATTGTTTACGTTCCGTTTTGGACAAATATTATGGGTACTTTTATTGATAGTTTCAATAAAAGATCCAGTAATGAGCCTATAGAATCGTTTTTTTTTTTTTTTTTTGATAATAGTTAGGTATAATTAAAAATTAAGACTAACTTATTTCTAGAGCACTGGCTGCGGGGGCCTTCGGCTTGCTGCTGTACTTATTTACATTTTTTATATACATATTACACTTACATATTTACATATTTACATTGGGTTAGGTCATAGAAGGCGATACATGTTTGTTGTTTTAAGGAATTCAATTATTTTGGAGATATTTTCAGGGGTTGGGTTTTCGAGAAGCGATAGGGGGCACCTGTTTCGGAATATTTGGTTTTTTAAGTATGAAGTTGCAGTGCAGTTGGTGAGGATATGTTTAATTGTCAGATCATTTGTTGTATGACAGTTTGGGCAGGGTATGATGTTGTCCGGGTTGTTGTAGTGTTGTTGTGTGAATCTTGTGTGTCCTAGTCTGAGTCTAACTATTTTAATTTGGTCGCTGCGTGTAATGTTTTTTTGATTTATATTTTTTAGGTAAAGGGTTGTGTTTGTTGGGTTTGTGTTTAGTTGTTTGTACCATCTGTTGCAGAGCTCTAAGTTTTGTTTGAGTTTATAAGTTAGCTCCTTCGCCAGAAATTTTGTTATGTCTGTAGTGTTGAAGTTAGGGGTATAGTGTAGGGGCATATTGTATGTGGATTTGGCTGTCGTGTCGGCTAGCTCGTTTCCTTCAATGCCACAGTGGCCAGGTATCCAAAGGAGTTTTATTCTAGGGGCAGTTTTTGTGAGGATGGATCTAATGGTTATGGGATATAAGTTGTTGTTGTTGATGTTCCGGACGGATTTTAAGGATGCGAGGGAGTCAGAACAAACTATGTAGTTGCCCGGTCTTTTTTGAATTAGTTTTATTGCGTCTAGAATTGCTAGTGTTTCGGCTGAGAGGACTGATGAGTAGTGGGGTAGAATGCATCTTTTTAGGATTTCATTTTCGGTGGTGATGGCAAAAGTGGCTGTGCTATTTTGCAAAGAGCCATCTGTGTATATGAATGTATGGTTGTTGTATTTGTCTTTGAGTTCCAGAAATTGTTGTCTGTATACGGTTGGCGGTGTGTTGGATTTGCTAAATTTTTGTAGTGTAGTGTTGATAAGGGAGGGGGAAAATGTCCATTGGGGGGTGGTTGTTTTGTTAGGAAAAGGGAGGTAGGGAATGTTGTGTTGTTTGCATGAGAGGATGATTTTTTCTAGTGTTGACGTTAATTTGCTTCTTTTTTGGGTCCTGTATTGTTTAATGTATTAGTAAAGTGGTGAGTTTGAACTGTGTGGTAGTGTTTTGTATGTTTTAGATGTGATAAGGTCTCTTTTTTGTTCTATTGTGGGTACGTTTGCTTCAAAAAGCAGGTTGGGGATGGGGGTTGAGCGAAGTGCTCCCAGTGTAATGCGAATTGCGGCGTTAAATAAAGTTTTGAGTTTGTTGAGGGTTGATTTAGGTGCGTGGCCGTAGATAAAAAGTGCGAAGTCTATTTTTGAGATTAGGGTTGATTTAGTTATATTTAAAAGCTTGTGTGTGTTGCAGTTTAGTTTCGGGCTTGATAGGCATTTAATTATGTTAAGTTTCTTGTTTAAGGCCGGTTGAATTTGTTTTATGTGTGAGTCCCATCTGTATTTATTGTTTATTGTTAGTCCTAAGATTTTTAGGTTGGAGACTGTGGGAATTGGGGTATTATTGCATGAAGTGTTGCATGTGCAGTTCTGCTTTCGGCAAATGTGTAGGGGTTGGCATTTTTCTAGGGAAAGTGAGGCTCCTGAGTATGAACACCATTCGTGAATTTTTGAGAAAAGGCTGTTGAGGTTGTACGTTTTGTTTTTTTGTCTATTGAGGGGAATAATAAGGAAAAAGTCGTCGGCATAGGCACTGAATTGTATTTCTTTTTGTAGGCTGATGATGTAAGCGAGTCTGTTGTAGGCAATTAAGAAAAGAATGACCGATATTGGCGATCCTTGGGGGATGCCGTTGTAGAGGGGATATGGGGAGCTAATGCTATTTTTTATTTTCAGTCTTATTTTTCTGTTTGACATAAAGTTTTTGACGAAGTTAATAATTTTAGGGCCAACTTTCCAGCTGATTAGCTGGTCGACTATAGTGTGCACTCCGACTCTGTCGAAGGCCTTTGAAAAGTCAAGGGCAATGACAGAGGTGTGCTTTTTGGTTTTCAGCGACTTGGTTATCAGGTGGTCTGCAAGGAGCAGACCGTCTGAAACCGATTTGCCGTGTTTAAAACCCGATTGGTTGGGGTGAATGAGGTTTTTTTGGGTTACAAACCACCATAGGCGTTTGGCTATTATTTTTTCTAAAGTTTTGGATAGG